CCAAATTGGGTATTCCGGGTCGTGAATGGATGACAAACAAATATTACTGGTGCAAACACGATAATCATGATATGTGTTTCATGTAAAATATAACTATCTGATACGCTAATAGCACGCTCGCAGTCGTTTGGCTAGCTCCTCATATACCAAATTTGGTATCACGTGACGTGAACAGACTACGAAGGTAAATGGCACGTTTAAACATGATAATCATGGCATGTGTTTTAAATAAATATTGACTACATGCTACTTTAACAGCACGGTCGCAGTCGTTTAACTAGCTCCTCATATACCAAATTTGGTATCCGGTGACGCGAATTGATTACGAAGGTAAATGACACGTCTAAATATGATAATCATTACATGGTAGTGATGTACGGGATAATTAACGTTCACTTCGTAACGTTGTGCTGATTAAAGTGACATATCAACCTTCCTCTTTCTTGCTTAGCATATGATCGATTCCCACTGTACGGCGGAATTCTTCCATGCTCGTAAGTCAGCTTGGTATTATTGAATGTATACTACCCTTAAGAGAGGTCAAAATAGAAGCATACTTTTTTTTTGTGCATTGCACGTAGCCCAAATACAGTGGATATGGTGGAGCGCCGCATGTCGCCAAAGTTAACGCTCGAGCTCGATTGAAATGGTTAGAGCAATGAAACTTACAGTTACGACTTCAATACATGCCTCTCTCCTAACTTGCCCCGCCGCAGAGGTCCAGTGGCTAATGTACTCGACTGCTGACCCACAGGTCACGGAATCGAATCCCTGCTGCGGCGGTTGCATTTCCGAGGGAGGCGGAAATGCTGTAGACCCGTGTGCTCAGATTTGGGTGCACGTTAAATAACTCCAGGTGGTTTAAATTTCCAGAGCCCTCCACCACGGCGTCTCTCATAATCACGGTGGTTTTGGGACGTGAAACCCCACATATCTCTCTATAAGGTTTAGCTGCGGTTGCGATGTTGTAAGACGCTCGGCCGGTAGTGATCTTAGAGGCTACTATGCTGATTATTCTAAAACAGACTTAGTGCAGGCATTAAAAGCTTCAAAAATAATTGGTTGCCTTAACAGGGTTGCCTTATCACATTTCAACATATGCCACTTATGAACGCCACATTTACTACTGCGTCAAATTCGTCAAGCAGGCTCGGCAAAAATTATTTCGGAATGCCGTTCAGCTCGTACGTCAATTCTAGTTCACATATTTTTCTGTAACACGCAAATGCTTACGCAAGGCCTCGGTGACGCACGGTCGATGAGCTGACGACACCACTTTTCTCATTCTGGCAGTGAGGTAGCGAACATTTATCAGTGACTTTCGTTTAGGAAAGTACTTTGGTTCGATATATTTTTTTTTTGAAAATCATGAGCTCAGCCGGTGACAGCGGCACTGGGCGTATACATCCGTGCGTCCTATACTGAGTTCACGGGTTGACCCTTCTCCCGCATCCATCTTAGATTGCACGGCACGCTACCTGTAGCTCGTGGGCATTGCGAATAAGACGTTTACGACAGCCAGTTTGCGCAACTAAAATTAGGTGGCACCATCGACGCCCAGGGCGCTTCGAATATCCGCAGTCTTTGACGCGAAAACTGCTTTCCACAAAAAAGAGGTGGTCGCTCTTTGCACACTCTAACCCTACACAGTATGCAGAAACCTGTTCAAAAAAGAGAGATTCAAGGAAAGACATGGAGGACCTGAAAGACCAACAACTCGTCGCCAGGGTCAAGAGGGCAGTAGAAGCCAGAGGGTTCATGAACTAAGGAGCCCTCCCACCTCATGGTGACACCGGGCATTGCTCGAAACACTGTTTTAAAAATAAAAGTTTACTTCTCTCTCTCAAGGAAGGACAGGGATGTTACCCAGACGAGCGTCCGGTTTGTTACCCTGCCCGGCTTCGGCGAGTTCGTGCGATATAACATGTTCTCTGCGCGCTAAGGAAACATAAACAGAAAATGAAGGTGTAACTTTCTCCGAGTTTCTTGTTTAAGCGTTCAAACGACAAATTTGCTAAGTTCCCTCTCATAGCCGGCCTACATTACTGCCGAAGGCATCGTTCGGGACGGCGCCTTGATGTTCTGTCGGGTAATCACAAAACAGTAGTGGTGTGCGAATTGTGAATTTTTAAACCGAATCGAGAACGAATCAAAAAGAGATGACGCTGGATGTACTACGAATGGAACTTCATTCGAATATTTGATTTCTGATAGTAAAACAACCATCTTTAAAATAGTAATAGAGCTCCACAACATTACACTTGAAAAAAAAAATATTCACGAGGTTTCAGCAAACAAATATTACGGTTCTTTTTAACCGACAAAGACCTTAATTATCATATGATAAGTAAGGTACATGGCAGTGACTGCGGTTGTGAATTGTCGCGTGCATTTAAATTAAATTGAGAAAAAAAGTAAGCAATTTTAAACCGGGAAACCCTGATTAAAGCTAAAGCAATGATCAAATAAACAAATTTGAGCTGGACCACTACAGCTAAAGCTATAATCAAACAGATAAACATGTCGGTATAACATGTACCCCAGATCGGCACTGAAAGAATCCCGTAAACATCAGTGTTCAAAGCTCTATCGGCAGGAGCTTCATACGAAAACACAACGCTTACTTTTGGTGTTATTCATGAATCTGAGTCCAGTTGTATTCGCCAACTTCAGTTGTTAGAATGTTATGACAGCAGCTGGTTATTGTGACGCAGCGACGCCATGCTAAACTCCTATTAATATTGGAGTTTTCAGAAAAAGCGCCTTCATTCGTTAATAAAAATAGCATGGACACTCTCGAAAAGATTGGGCTGTGTGCATATGGGTAATTTTCAAATTAACAGACAGACAGACAGACAGACAGACAGACAGACAGACAGACAGACAGACAGACAGACAGACAGACAGACAGACAGACAGAACTTTATTGAGGTCCTGACGAGCACTACCTCAAGGAGGTAGAGTGGAGGGCCGCTCCCAGGTCGCAACGGGTAAACGGAGCCTCACCGCCGTGTTGTGGGCCCTCTGGACAGCCCAGAGTTTATGTGCAAGTTCTGAGATCCTGAGCTCAGAGCTCCATTCCTCTTCGGTCATGTGCCGAGAATTGGATTAACAGAAAAAAAAATATTTGTACCCATTTCCAAAGCTCTGTCGTTTTGCGGTCTTCCCTTGAGTGCTGATTATCCGAAAACTTTTCAAAAACTATCGTAAACATATTCGACACTTCGCATGGTTACTAATTTACTATTGGAGTTGTTTTTTGGAACTTGCCAATATTCACATGCCCTTATATGTAGGCACGGGCCACTGCTAAAGACGTCATAGGAGTATGGGGGTGTAATGCTTGGGAGTGATTCCTAAATGAAAAGAAAAAAAAAAGATAAGAGTGAGTCATGTGACTGTCTCTCAGGAGGAGGGCACCTCAACAATAGCTCACGATGGAGGGGGGTAAAAAGGGATTAAAAAGATGGGGAGGAATTAAAGGTATAGAGATAGACAGAGGGTCAGGGGCAGCCACATACGGAAGTAAGGAGAAGATAGGAAAGATGGACACGCTTGCAACAGTCCTAGGACGGGGCACCATTCAGCGAGAGCTCTTGTCGGCTTCAGGAGATGGCATTGGGCGAGCCAGTCGGCCAGAGCTGCGCTGTCATCGGCGATCGCGGGGTACAACCAGTCGGCACAAAATCCAGCGAGCGAGTCAGGAGTATCGGACCAGTAAAGCCATCGTCGTATCGCGCAAGATGCTTCGTAACCACAACCACCACCATCACCAACATCACCATCATCATTATCATCATCATTATCATCATCATCTCTTGCTCTGGAACTCTGGCTTCAATGTTCTTGTATTCTTTGCGTATTTATTAGATGCGAAGCAGCTTCTCTACTAGCTTGTGTAACGCTATCCTTCCGTCTACACCGCTTCCCTCGCCGCAGGTGTTGGAGTGGTGCCGAGTGGGGGTGGTAGTGGTAGTAGTTAGAAGATGAGAAAAGGCACCTGATTTCTGTAACCCGGTCGGGAGCACGGCGCAGTGCCTAAGCCGAGTAGCTGACGCACTCCTAGCAGTGCGTGGTGACGCTTCTTTCCCTCGCGTGCCACGCGCTTACCGCGTGTCAGCTCCCTCTCGCTTCACCCTCACCATCGCTCCAACGCTCGAGCCCACTTCTCACGTGGGCATCATCTCACCCGCGCCATCTTTCCATCTGTCGGCAAGAACAAGGCACAAGCCAACGGGTGCGCGCGCAGCGCGCGCCTCGAGCATCTCGCGGCGCGATCGCGCCGACAGGCGGGGCGCCATCGCGACATGCTTCGCGTTAGTGTGCGGGTACCTTTCCCGGCTCTCGCCGGCGTTTCGAGGGCTAGCGAAGCCTATCACGGTCGCAAATGGCGACGCCCACACCGACGAGGTGCTAGCCAGAAAAGCCGAACGCAACCGTCGGCAATGAAAGACCAGCGACACTGAATAAGTGCGAGTCAAGAACACCGATGGCGTTCGAGAATACAGAGGCGCAGACAACACCGACGAGACGCGAACCGAGGAAGCTGAGCGCAAGCGTCCCCATCGTCCCGCCTTCTGTTTCTTAGCGTTTCAAACACAAACGTTTACTCGAGTAAACGCTACACCGAGCTTCGCTTCAAACCGTTCTTCCAGCACCCACGTCGACGCCTCTTTAAACGGGGTCAACGCCGTGTGCACCGCTACTGCTTCGCATCACATCACCGTTCCCTTCGAGGAGATGGTCCATAGTTTTTCGTGTTTTTTTTTTGTTCCCTTACAAGCTTGTTTCTCTTTTCTTCGAAAACTGAGAGTATTGCAGAATCATGAGCATGCGACGTACATAAAAACGCCGGTGCTGACCGGACGAGCAAATATCCCCTTATCGACACTCAAAAGCTACAGCGACGTTGATTATTCGAGGATTTCTAATATCTATTACTCCGCTTTCTGACATTTGTAAGAAGTGGGTCTCAGAATGACGTTACTTGTACCCTGCAGCCACTTCACAAGTTCTTCGCGGAATCGAGCAACCGGGGCGACGTGCTGCGTATGGTGGTGAACCTGATCTCGGCTGCCGGGGACGTGGTGGTGCTCGTGTTCGCGTGGAGTTACGCCAGTCGTTTCCTCGGCAGCCTCGGCTGGTTCCTATATCTGCTTGTCGTGGCCCTGCTCGTCTTCCAGACATTATTTTGGATTATGGTCGAATGTGCGAGGGTGTGGTAAGCAGCTGCTTTATATTTAGATATTTACGCGCCTAGTGAACGTGTGGGATGCCCTATCTACCGAATGGCGAATCGCAACGTTAAACCCCAACAATCTTTCATACCAACGCCTCTTTCGTATGGGTAAAAAGCAATACTACTCTTCTAAGGCGGATTGGTTTGTTTTTGTAGTTATCGTCAATGACGTATACACGACGTGACGCTCTGGTGACGCCATGTTCCATCGTAATGTACTGTTACTGCATATTCTCACTACGAGAGCAGAGCTGCACATAGGTCGGCCATTATTTTGAGTCTATGCGCAATGAAGGCGCTCTTCGCGTGCGCAGAAGACGAACACGGTGCGGTGTTCTCGCACGGGTGACATACGTTTGACGTATTATACGCAGGCGCTGAGCAAGCTTGCTCTGTTACAGCGATTAGCAATGCTGTATATGGCTTCAGGTTTTAACTCATCTAGTCGGCGAAAAAAGATGACGTGTACAACAATGATTTAACAGCGTTCACCTAATACCAGGGGTCGTGCAGGGCGTGGAGCAGGGACTGATGACACACAGAACGTGAATCGAAGGTCTACTAAGTGGACTAAAATATAGATAGTTAACTAAAGGGAACATTACGCAACCGATCCAGTAAACTTATTCAAACGTGCCCTAAGTGAACCAAGGATGATTAGTGAAACTGTATTTGGCTAGGCTCTGACGAAAAGTACGTATTTTTATCGAGCAGGGAGGTTCCGGGACTTATTTTAATGAGGAGGGGAGGGGCATTCTTGACAAACGAGTTCTTTTAGAGGGGCAGGGCACCTAGGGATATGTCAGTTGTGTTTTGATTATGACACTAAAGTTACTGCGAAATGCAAAGTTAAGGAAAAGACACAAAGTGGACAATACGCTTGTATTGTCTACTTCGTATTGTGTCTTGTCCTTAACTTTCTGTTTCGCAGTAACACGACACGAAGTGGACAATACAAGCGTATTGTCCACTTTGTGTCTTCTCCTTAACTTTGTATTTCGCAGCAACTTTAGCGCAGTTTTATTACGATAGCGGACCGGACAGCGGTCGAAAGGCAACGCCTCAGCGCACAAAACGTCGGTGATACCCGGGCCGGTAACCCTGCAGGGTTTCTTTTTTTGATACATTTTTTTCGTCCATCCATTACGATACCAATTATATGGACACACTCGGCTGGAATTTCACGCCAGCGTCGACGTCAGCCTCGCCGTCGCTCACCGTATATGTATGTATCTGCATATATGAAAATGCAAGATAGAAAAGTAACCCAAAAATAGACTCCAGCGCACGGAATCTAACGCGGGACATCTGATGTGTGAGTGCGAGGCTTTAGCCACTGATCCACGAAGGAGCACCTCCGTCGACGTTTAAACGGCAAGCTATTTATACCTACCACTTACCGTTGGTGACGGGCATCTCGGAAGGAACTATCATGTTTTCAGCATTACCAGCAAGACGACGCAATGAGCGCGTATCAACACATTGTCAAGATGCGGTGGCGTGCTCTCTCATCTCCCACGCGTACTTTGCCTCGTGGAAAGAAGGCAGGGTGGACATCGCGCGTGCACTTATCTTGCTGTGGGGACATTCGCATGCCTTGGTTGGCCTTGGGCTTTCACCGGAACGATTCTGTGGTAGGTACTGGGCGCACAATGATCACTGCAATCGTTGCACAGCCTCTGTTTGCGAAAAGGGCGTGTTTTTCAGAGACAGCAAAGTAACAACTGAGACGCTTATTCGCGTTCATCTCTACCTGATAGTAGGTTTCGTGCGTAATTTGTGCGAGAGAAACGCGGGGCACGTGTCGATCTACTTGCCATTCTACGCGTAACCTTCAAGTTTGTTGCTATCGCGTTCAATACTTTGTGGCAAAGCTGTGACTTTTTTTTAAATCCTAATTGATTGATATGTGGGGTTTAACGTCCCAAAACCACTATATGATTATGAGAGACGCCGTAGTGGAGGGCTCCGGAAATTTCGACCACCTGGGGTTCTTTAACGTGCACCCAAATCTGAGCACACGGGCCTGCAACATTTCCGCCTCCATGGGAAATGCAGCCGCCGCAGCCGGGATATGAACCCGCGCCCTGCGGGTCAGCAGCCGAGTACCTTAGCCACTAAACCACCGCGGCGGGGCTTTTTTAAATCCTGAAGAACCAACTAGCCCGATCTAGCCCGATTCATCACTTTGCTCACGTTCTTACTACTCTTGCACAATGGGGGGGGGGGGGGGGGGCAAGAGAAAGCGGTAGAAAGTTTTGGGGAGTTCCGGCTCCACATAACCCCTCCCCCCCTTCCCCACCCCTATTATAGAGTCGTGCGCACAGAGAATATTACCGCGGAGGCCGGTCCCACGAACACAGCTTTCTGATGTGCATGCTACAATCGAAGAGCTCAGAAGTTCGCTTGCCCCCACGGGGTGCCTTTAAACGAAAAATAGAGTGGTTATTTTTAGCAAGCGGACGACCTTCTTTTGCCTGGCCGGTAGCCGGTGATGTATGGCCGCACGCATAGTCAACAATCAGAAGCGTGTATTCTGGCCGCCTAAATGAGCTGATTAGGTCGCGTGGCTAAATGACCATTTCACTTCACTTTATTTTCCTTAAAGACCCCGCACTGGAGGTATTACATAAGGGGTGGGGTTAACACACATTTTTTTTACAAAATAGTGGCTACATACATTTATTGAAAAACAGCAGATTTTAGTTTTACCGAAAATGATGATGAGCAGGTGGTTTCGACGATATGGCGGGGCAGGCCGTTCCAGTCAACTGATGATCGACAAAAGAAAGATGCAGAAAATGTTGTAGTGCGGCTGCGTGGACGAGAAACTTGCAAGTGGTGCCCTGTGCGCAGCGATGTGCGCGGTGGCGGGGCCAAAATATATGGGGCATGATGAAGCGAGCTGTAGAAAAACTTGTGAAAAAGGATTAATGAATCAATGCGGCGCCGGTATGATAGCGTGTTTAAACCAGACTGTGTTTTTAGTAATGATATGCTGATGTTATAGGAATATGACGATTGAATAAACCTTACTGCGCGATTCTGAATGGCTTCTAGGGTATTGATAAGACATGCTTGATGAGGTGACCATATGGGAGAAGCGTATTCTAGTTTCGGGAGTACGAGTGACTTATATGCTAGAAGTTTTACGTGGCGTGGTGCATGACGCAGGTGGCGTTTTAGAAATCCCAGGGTTTGGTTGGCCGAGGCGGTAATGCATGCTATATGAGGCGACCAGTTTAAGTCATGTGAGAGTGTGACACCAAGGTACTTGAATGTATCCACTGTTTCTAATGAAGTGTTAGCAATAGTGTAAGGTGTGTATAATGGCTGAAGACGGCGAGTGAAACATACTACCTTGCATTTGTTGGGGTTGAGGGTCATCAGCCATTCGTTGCACCAATCCTGAATATTGTTGAGATCTTCTTGCAGAATAGCGTGGTCAGCATTGTTAGTGATTGTACGGTAGATGACACAATCATCTGCGAACATTCGGATTTGAGAGGAAACATGTAGAGGGAGGTCATTTATATAAATAAGAAACAGCAGAGGGCCTAAGACGCTGCCCTGTGGAACGCCAGATGTTACAGGGAGGGGGGCGGAAATGGAATTATTGATATGTACTGACTGTGATCGGCTAGCAAGAAATTCCTTAATCCAATGGAAAATATCGGGATGTAGATTCAACTGAGAGAGCTTAAGTAACAGCCGTTGGTGGGGTAACTTATCAAAAGCTTTTGCGTAATCAAGAAAAATGGCATCTACCTGTTTGTTAGTATCGAGGTTGATGTGCAAGTCGTGGATGAACATGGCAAGTTGCGTTTCGCATGAGAGGCCCTTCCGGAATCCATGTTGAGATGCGTGAAAAAAGTTGTGCCTGTCAAGAAACTGCATGATTTGCGTGTAGATGACGTGCTCCATTATCTTGCAAGGTACACTAGTCAGGGAAATCGGTCGATAGTTGAGAGGAGAGCTTTTGTTGCCTGATTTGAAGATTGGAACGACCTGCCCTTCCTTCCAGGAGAGGGGGATGCTACCGGATGATAAGGAATGCTCGAAAATAATTCTGAAATAGGCTGCGCAGATGTTCTTGGTGTTTTTTAACAGTTTTGTATTGATATCATCTGCCCCTGAAGTTGATGAAAGTTTAAGATTTTCAATTATGGCAATTATTCCTTGTTCGCTGAATTGGATTGCTGGCATGACACCTTGGACAGGGGGTGGGGGCACTGGTAGAGGAGCATCAGGTTCAGTGGTAAATACAGATGAAAAAGCAAGGTTAAATACATCAGCACATTCTTGCTCAGGAATCGCAATGTCGTTATGGTCGGTAATGACAACAGCAGTAGGTGGCTTGGGGTTTAAAATTTAATTACTTGGGCATAGTAAAGTCACCACTAAGAATGTCATATTAAGTACCTGTCTGTTAGAGCGGAGCGCTGGTTGTCCTGCGCTGAGGTTGTCCGCCGCCACCGCCGGTGTCCGTAACCGCATCGTGTGAAATTAGCAAAAACAATAAAAACATAGCACCAATGACACAGTGTAGTTTGAACCCAGGACCGCTGGGTGCCAGCCCAGTATTTTACCACTGAGCCTCACCGATGCTTGGGTCTTGCTGGCAAACTTGCCTTAGGCCGGCTTTATGTCGGGAAAGCAATCGCGTTAAGACAACTCATAGAGCGTTTCATAACAACAAAAGAACAAGCAGTCGCCGCACAATGCCAATAGCTTAACGAGTGGGTCATTCAATGCTCCAACCTATTACAAAAATTTCTTTTTGTTGAGCTATTAACTGTGGCGCATACCCACTTCAGGCATGATTCCTGATTGTCGTCAGCATATGCATGAACAATTGGCACAAAACTCCTCGCAATATAATTTAGCGGATACCACACTTTTCGGAAGAATGACGAAAAATAGCATAGCAAAGGCCTGCCTGCTACCCTCGAATTTTTGTTATTAAGGCCGTAGTGGACATCAAGC